TGGTTTTACGGGGCTGTCCACTCCCAGGCTGAACAGTGAACCTCGGAGGTAACTTCACCACTGAGCTAAAAGGGTGTCTGGGGGCCATCCTCTAGAGGTTTCTCCAGTCTCGTTTAGGCCAGTAAGGATGATATATAGTTTTAATTAGCCACTGAAGTGCATTGATGTTTGGAAAGTTGAGATTGTAAGTATCCTAAAAAGCTAGAACGTGCCCATTTTCATATCCAAAAAACTCTTCGAATCACAATAATCTGATTTTGTTAACAATATATATGATTTATGACATTGCTAGAAGATGAAACTCATAAATTCCACATATTTAAAATTGGTTTTAAAAAACAAAGTTTCCTTGTAGCATTTCTGGATAGTAAGTAGCTACTGTTTAGTGGATTCATTTGACTCTTCCTAAAATTGTGGATTCATTTGACTCTTCCTAAAATTGTCTATCTATTGGTCCCTTATAGTAAAATAATTTTGAAGAGCTGGTATATAGAAGTTAGGGTTAACTCTTCGCCCAGTCACTCTGAGGCTCCCAACTGATATGTTAATTCCAGACGACTTTACAAGTTCTAGGTTACCATAGCCCCGTCTTATTGCTCAGTGGCTTTATTACTTCTGTTTTGTCTGTTTAGGGATAGCTGTTGAGGTTTTGAGACTTACTCTGCTTATTAATATTTACGTGTTTGATTCATTCCCTCCCCACGAGCTCTACCCAAGGTAGAATAAAAGTAGGAAAATTAAGTCTTGCTTGGCCCATCATATGTGTGTTTGTGTTTGAATTCAAGGAAATACTCCTTAATTTTACAATCTGTGAATAAAAATATTTAACATTTATTAATATTTTAGAGGATGCCATGGTATGTTTAACAAAATTTGTAAATTGGTTTCTGTCTTACAGAGAGGCTTATTGGGTTATTTAATTTTTGTTCCTTTAGGAATCTATACGATGGTTAGAAGATGAAAAAGCTCTGCTAGAGATGACTGAAGAAGTAGACTATGATGTAGATTCATATGCTACACAACTTGAAGCTATTCTTGAGCAAAAAATAGACATTTTAACTGAGCTACGGGGTAATTCTTTTTTCATTTTAGTGTTTGAAATCTGCTTGGTATTTGTATGTGTATCAGTGGACAATTTCATATTGCAGGAGGGCTTCTGAAAGATAAAACAGGAATTAGGGGTGGGAGTATCCTAATATTGAAAGAAATGTCCATTTTACAGTTTAATAAAACTGACAGTTTCCCTTTGGACACAAGTGTACATATTTTACACACATATGCAGCCTACATACATTCCAAAAGGAATTGAAATAAACTAAATTTGAACTGTAAAATGTGCTAAAAAGAACAGAAGCCTGTGGAAAGATAAATAATAGACATTTCCAGGAGCCTGTAGTGAAACTGTTGGTCTAGTTGAGCATTGCATTTAATTGTGTTTCCAGACAACAAAGACCAAAAGGAAACATACTGAGTTATTGCTGTGAAATAAGACTTGCCTTGATAAGACCCATAAAGTTGTATATTGTATTGCACGTAATGCAGTACTTACTCCCATGTTCTCTTCTTTTTCCAAGATAAAGTGAAATCTTTTCGTGCAGCTCTACAAGAAGAAGAACAGGCCAGCAAGCAAATCAACCCGAAGAGACCCCGTGCCCTTTAAATCTGCATTGCTGCTAAAGGATCCCAGAACCCTCACTACTTTAATAACATACAGTGGTTCCGCTGTAAGAGCCATTTGAATGTTTGAAATTTTAAGTGTCTGTGGAAAATGTTTTGTCCTTCGCCTGAATGACATTTCAGTTTTGTGAAACACTCCTTTGCCTACAAAATGCTTCTAGTTCAGGAGGCACAACCAAGAATTGGGATTGGTGAAGCATTTTGTTGCATTTACGCAAAAAGTGATTTACTTTGGAGATCCTTGCCAATTTCTATATAATGAAGTGAGATTGTGGACTTTGATCCACAGGTAGTAGGGGGAAGCCACAGCATTTCCTTTTAACTCTGTTCAATTTTTGTAGCAAGACTGAGCGGTTTTAAATCCTTTGCGTGCATGCATACCTCATCAGTGATTGTATATACCTTGCCCACTCCTAGAGACAGCTGTGCTCACCTTTTCCTGCTTCGTGCCTTGACTAAGGCTTTTGACCCTAAATTTCTGAAGCACAGCCAAGATAAATTACATTCCTTATTTGTCATTGTAAATTACCTCTGTTGTGTGTACATTTTTACTGTATTTGAGACATTTTTTGTGTGTGACTAGTTAAATTTTGCAGGATGTGCCATATCATTGAACGGAACTAAAGTCTGTGACAGTGGACATAGCTGCTGGACCATTCCATCTTTTATGTAAAGAAACCTGGAATTATGAAATTTAAAACCATATAACGTGATTATAATTTTCTTAGCATTTTCTTTGTAAAGAACTAAAATATAAACTAGTTGGTGTAAAATAAAAAGTAATGAAATTCTGAGAAGAGTTTTATCTTAGGATAATACATACATATGCAGTGTGTGTTCCAGTGTGGTATTAACAAGACTAATAGTGCAATTTGATCCCTACCAAAATCATTACTCGAGTCACAGTGTCCATTAGCACCCAAAAATGTACCCTTTTGTTAAAGGAAATTGGCTTCTGCTGCATGAACATTCACATGTACATTAAAAATAGTCCATAATAGAACTGTTAGTTTAAGCAAAGTATAGACAGTACCTGACAACCTTAAAAAAGAATTTAAGCTAAAAAAAAGTTGACTTTGCCTTAAAAGGCACATCTAACCCAAGCTCCATCTAGTTCCTAATGTGTGATGTTTCACCATTATTTGGTGAGAATCACCAAATTCTCACCAGTAGATTGCTGTAGGGTACGCGACTTTTTAAATGGCAGCACTTATTTTTACAGATTGCTACTCCAGGGAAGAAAAACCGGCCACTTCTCATGTAAATATTTTGTTAAAAGATTTCTATTTCTCTCTAGGAGTTTTCCCTCAGTTCCCAGGATAGAGTCCAAGAGTAGATTAACAAAAGAAAGAGAAAAAGCTCCCAAGGATATATTTCAGTTTACTCTAGGGAACTGTTGGCTCATTCTTGATGGGCCCAAAGGGAAGCTATGAATAGAGAGTCACATGAGCCAGATTCTCTACTTCACTGTTCATAGAACTCAGAGGGTCGTTGTGGGAAATCCTAACACCACAATGAAAAGCTCCTTCTCTGTAAACATGAAATCTAAAACAAATGTAGATTTTCACAATATGCTTATTAATAAATCTATGGAATGACTTTTAGAGATAATTTACTTCAATACAGTCATTTGTTTTGGAAGGGACTCGGGTTTTCTTGCAGCTGTAACATGTTCTATTTGTGTTTATTTCAACAAGATGAGAACAAATGGAGAACTGTTATTGACCTTGCAAAGGCTGTTAAAAAGGTAGTTTTAGGGACTAACCAACCTCCAAAGGGCAGTAAAGAGAAGTTGTTCATTGTAAAAGCACAACAGATTAGCTTTAATTTATTATTTGCATTAGGTGGGTGCTATCTTTGGAAGGTCTTCTCTGATAGACATATATGCTACCTTTATTATGACTGACTTCATTCTGGTTCAGGAGTCAAAATATCTTTAAAAAATTGGTACCAGGAGATCTTGAAGGTGTAATATAATCCAGTGCTTCAGTTTTACAGGTACGGAAGGGAAGGAATTACCTAAGAAAGCCAAATGAAATTTTAAATTAAAACCTTGCTATTTGGGGTCATATAGAGACGGTACAAGTGAACTTTGTCAAATAAGTAATTCTGTAAGGTTAAAAAAAGTCCAGCACTCTAAGTATACTTACTATTCATGTAACAAAAGTGGCTTAATGCAGCTATTATTTAAAGTAACTTTTGTTGTTGTTGTTGTTTAGTACTTTGTCAGACTCAAATGCTGATATCCCTCTGTTAATAAATAATTAAGAACATGCATTATTTTAATTATGTAGGAATAGTTGATACATGACATTAAAACCAGGTGTCAAAAAAAATCTGTTTAGGCAAACAACTTATCTTCCCTTCTGGGTTTACTCAGCATACTTTTGCTAAATTAATTTGGTAATTTTCCTTCTATCAAGTTAGATATAAATAAAATCAAATTATCAATGAAGATATTTTTATTAATTTTACTATATAAATAATCAGATACTATAATTCTTTATTAAATGACATTAATAGCACTTAGTATTATACTGATGATTTAAACATAATGTGTTTAAAGACCTGTTTATGGCATGTATTGATATTACCAGTTTTAAAACTAAGCATCAGATAAATTGTGGGGGGGGAACCTGGAAAGTTTAATTCTCTGGAAGTTATATAAATACTGGGAGCCTACAGTTTTGGGAAAATTGCTGTTTTTCATAATTTTTTTTTTTTTTAAAGAACAGATTTTTTGATTTATAAAACCCTTTGAAATTTTGTTATAACTCTCTCCCCAAGGAAAAACATACAACTTTATAGTTAATTTTATTCTAATTGAGCTTTATTTTACAGGTAAAAGGAATGATGGCCAGAAATAATATGCCTGGTACTGCACCATGGCAGTGCAGATCAGGCTTACACAGAACTCTGATGTAGTCTGATGCTACAGGAAAGCTAAAGGTGTGAGCAAGGGTAATTAATAGAAACTGTATAGAATAAACCAGAAGAAGACAAGCAGAGAAAACATTCTAAGAAACAAAGGAGCCCTGATGGCCTAGTGGTTAAGAAACAATTGTTTTACTGTACATGTGAAGAAATGGTATGGGAAAGATGTGACTAGTTAAGCTTATTTTAATTTTTTTTCTACTTGAAGGACAGCCCAAAAAGGTCCTCACAGTAATATATAAGATAGTAAATAGGAGAGTAACATCTTTATACAATAAACTGTTTGTTAGAAATGGTAAGTGTAAAGCTGTGTGTGTCTGCAGCTCTTAAGCTTGATTATTATGTATGCCTTGGACCCTGCCATATATATTAAAAACAAACCAAAACAAAATACAACAAAAAACTCTGGGCACTTAGAACTGACTTACTACCTTAAAAATTCAGAATAATAAATGGTGACAACTATAGTATTACATCAAAAAGTAGTCAAGCAAATATTGTCCCAGTGGTATAAAACAGTTCGTATATTCTCAGTCTGTTAAAAATATATAAATTCCAGTTTTCTTGACCTTGAAAAATTCTGCTTTCCAGATACCTAAGAAAAATGGATACCTTCTGCATTGAATCCATGTAGCAATCTGAAAAAAAGAAACCGAAATAAGATGGTATTAAAAGGCTAATATGCAGCACATAACATTGTATAGTTCCTGTACCATGAATTCTAAAACATGAATACATCAACCCATGAAGCCTACCCTCTCCTAAGTCACTAAAGAAACCTTATTCTGCAAATAAATATACAACATATATACTGATTAAAATCACCTATGTTGGTGCCTCTTTTGTCATAGTCCATACATCTGAAGTTATAATGAATTTGACTCAAATTAGACTTCTTTGTCCCAGGCGTGGCACTCTTTCCACTTCACCATGGTAACTGAACAAAAAGCTGTTAGAATTTAGAGGCAAAAGCCAGATGAATAACTAATATACCCATTCTTCCTTTCTGAACTCACTACCGTTAAAGTTCAGATTAAATACTTAAACATTGCTTGTCTCTGTGGCTACCTATATACGTATCGGATTCTAATTGGCAAACTGCACGTGCTCAGTAACAAGGAAATTTGGTGAGAACGAAGGGTAACATTAAATATTTTCTATTTAGACCGGAGATTATTTATAGGTTGGCTCATAGGAACAGGTCAGATGGGTTATAATACCTGAAAAAGTACTTAGGAATAATGTTCAACTCGTAGGCTTAACATCTAATAAAGACTCAGTAGTACTGCTAGCCTCCCAATAAAATAGAATATATAGCACATTTGTCTTCGTTATATAGAATCCTTTCCAGCTTAGAAAAGTCACACCAATGACTTTATAATGATCTACCCTCAATTTTATTCAGCCTCTAGAATGTGGAAGCTTTAAAAGTGAATGAGCTGAAGGTAAGAACTTGATTTATTATAGGAATTAAAAGTGTTCATGTTTTAGAACAGTTGAGTGCAAGTTAATGATTACCTGGGTTATTTAAGCCTGCTTTCACAGACTTACTTGCTTAATTCAAGAAAAACAAATTTTGGTCTAAATCGCTCAGATGATTATCGCACCCTTTTTTTACCCTAGATGTGTAGAACTTGCCTCAGTTACAAAACAGCTAGATTATATATTACTAAATGGATTACCAGGTATGACTGTAAATGCCATTACTTCATGTTTAAGATCTATTTAACAATAGCTATTTCCAACTAAGAAAAGACTCAGATCTAATTACAGCTAAGGAAATTGTCATTATCATTTCTACCTTAAAAGCTACTTTGAAAAGACAAGCTGTTAAGATTGTCTGTGAATGAATGGGGCTGGGGAGAAGAGGGGAGGACACAAACATACCACACAAAGGCTATCTTCTGGCTCTGACTGTTCTTTAAAAAAAATGCTCATTCTGCTGCAGCTAACTAGCTTCATCTTCTACACCAAATACTATTCCATGCCATGGAAGTGCTATGCAATAACTCTCCCAGGTAGCACCTTATACTACTTAAAAGCCTTTAAATCTCTTCATCTGAAGGTGTCATGATAAAGAAATGTAAACACTTAGGAAAAGAGAAATGTAATTACCTAATGAAGTCATCTATGTCCATGGAACGGGCCCGTTTGTCACTAAAACCTGTGTTGGTTAGGATTTGCTGTATTTTATCTGCTATGCTGAAATCGTCTGGTATTATCTATCAATATAAGATCACAATAAATGAACAACGTATCTTTACTGAAGTCACCCTGACTCTTTTTTTTTTTTTTTAGCACAGTAAGTCACAAAATAGTTACCTTTAATCTATTAATGACAATTTGGAAACCCTGATGGTGCACATAAGAGTTGGATCTCTAATTAGTTACCTGATTTAAGCTTTACCACATACGAAAATACTCAGAAGACCTTGAATGAGCTAATCAGGAATACTGCCCTCTTTCTTCTTTAAAATGCCAAAATAGTTACTAGTTTCAGGCTTCATAACAAAATAATTAAAGCTGTAAACTAAACTTTAAAGCACCTGTTAATTCCTTTCAAAATAACTCATTTTTCTGCCACAAATTTCACCTTCCAACTAATTCTGCTCAAAGTGAATGACTTCTCCAACCCTCGAGAATATTAAATATACTTAATTCACATTTTTCATCCAAAGATTTTTCTTAATCCAGTTTAATATTTTCCTACTTAGGCAGATGTTTAATGACTGCCCATAAAAGGGAAAATGGGATAGCAAAGTGGTACATTAAACCATATAGGATCTGAGTCATAAAAAAATACAATGTGCTAAATTAAACTGAAAAAGCTAAAAAGTTAGTGAACACCACATACTTCTTATATACGGATATATATGTGTGTGCACTTGCGCACAAAAAATGTGTAAAGAACGTGCTGCACAGATAATGTCTAAGTAAGAAAAAGGCATGAAGCTCACAACAAGAAAGCTGCTCTTCAGCCTACTTTAAACATTTCAATTTCTGGGTATAAAAAAAGTTAAACAGCAAATATCCACTGCCATCCCGTCAACTCTGAATCATGGTGACCCTGATTACAGACTAGACCTGCTCCATAGGGTCTTCTTGGCAGTAATCTCTGTGGAAGCCAGGCCTTCTGAGGAGCCACTGGGTGGGTTTGAACCACCAACCTTATAGGCTAGTAGTGAGCACAAGCCATTTGTGCCACTTGCGGACCTTCTACAAATCAAATGTTTAAATTTGTAATTGCTATGTGAGCAAAAAACTAGAGCCAAGAATGGATGGTCACAATTCAGAGGACAGGAAATAGGGACACAATTATTTTAAGCCCTGAGCAAGCTACATAGACCTAAAGCTTTGAGAAAGTTATGACTAAACTGAATCTAATTCTCAACTAAAAACTATCAGTTAAAAAGGAGAGGGCAGAATAACAAAAGTTGTTCAGATCTGTTCTACAGACTATATAGCAGCACTGATCTATCAGAATTCCAGTTAGAGTTATATATTGTCTTTCAAGCATACTACGGAATATTTGAGAAATGTGCAAATTATATAAGAACCTTGTAATGACAGACTGAAAAGAATAAAGACAGGGACGTTTAAAAGAACAAATCATTGAAACTACAGAAACATTTTCTACTTACAGTATTATGGACTGAACAGTGAATTCTGTAGTTTTTTTCCAGCAGCTGTTGCACAGCACTTGACCTATCACATAAAGAAGTGATATCACTATTATCCCAAAATTGATATTACAGATAAATTTCCTTTCAGTTTACTATGCTCCATATTGTGAAATTAAGAAAAGGTATTTAATCTTTAAATTTATGAAGCAACCACAAATATTTAAAAAGTAAAGTCATAATAAACATCTTTAAAGTCTTAGAGCCTGGACTCTACAACAAAACATCTCAAAAAAAGATCCTGAAACCCTTTAAAAATACGGCTCTTGGTTCTCCTTTTTTGCCCTTGGACCCCAAATTGATATGTTACCTTTTTCCAGTTAATAATGGCATGAATCCTTCACAAGTGTGGAAGGGGCCCATCAACACCCAGTTTTACCAAGGAGAAACTAAGCAGGTATGTGACAGTTTCTGTGGTTTTGTTTTTTTTTTTCTTCTGTTTTACCAAAAAAAAAAAAAAACCTGCCTCCCAAAACTATGAACTTTATTCATTAAATTCTTCTGCCACCCAAAGTACCAGGTTAGTTAAAGAGAGAAAAATGTGTCTGGAAATAATTAAGTTTTGTGCTTAAGGCTCAGGAAACGGATCAAATTCTAGCACTTGGCAGTTTCTGGAGTAATGGTCTCTTTCTGGAGTAGTGGTCTCTCATACATTATACATGAGAAAAATACTTACTTAAATGCAGCAGACAGTGTCTTGTTTTTCCTAACAAAGGTGATTCTCACTAGGCCATCCCATTCCTAAAACAGATGATGGGTATTTTCTTATAAAATATCAAATTTCGTGTCTATACCTGCTAGGTGTCATCTTTCAATATATAAAACTGGAGGGAACCTTCTAGAGTGATGAAAACGTTCTCTGTCTTGATCTGGCTGGCACACATACGCAAAAGCAAGATGTGTACTTCAGAGTTTTGTTACTTTCCTATACTTCACTGAATGTATTTTATCTTCAATTTAAAAAAGTTCCACATGTGAACAAAGAAAAACATGGCATTTATTTAAACCTGAGTATTTTCAAAAGGAGCCCTGGTGATGCAATGGTTAAAATGCTCAGATGCTAACCGAAAGGTTGATGGTTCGAACCCACCAGTGGCTCCATGGAAGAAATGACCCGGTGATCTGCTCCCGTAAAGATTATAACCTAGAAAACCCTATGGGGTGGTTCTACTGTCCTATGGGTCACTATGGTCGGAATCGACTAGATGGCAACAGTTTTGGTTTGGTGTACCATTTTCAAAATCAACGTGATTCAAAGCAGACATGATTTAAGATACAGCCTGTACAACTCACATCAAGCACTCCATTTACCACAAGTCATGTTTTTATCCAACATGACTGTACTAAGGTTTTACATCAAGTGGTTTGGCATTTTCTCTTTTAAAATGGCAAAAACAAAAATTTTGAATTCAAAGTGTTACCTACAATATTATTCTAACATACTACTTTCATTTTATCTTGTATTCCAAAGTCACATTCAAATAGATTTGTTTTCCATAGGTATAATATTGAGTGAAATGCAGTGGCATTCTAATATTTTTGCCCATTGCAAGCATTTCCACTGCTTTTTGTGGTCTTTACAACTATCTTGCTTCAAATTATTCTACCTACTCCATCATAAGGATGTACTGTAATTAATATTCTCTTATTTTTGAAAATTTAGGTAGATTCGATATTTATCTGTTGCTATAGATACACATTTTCCAGCCTGTACTTTTTTTCCCTTTATTGAATGAGCTGGTATTTTAACCTCACCTGAAAATTGATAGGTGGTGGTGGATTCTTAGGTTCTATTCTTACAACACTGGATTCTACCTTGGGTGGTGGTCTGAAGTTATTCTTTCCGACCTATGAATCAAAAAATATTTAAGCAGTCCTTAAAGACAAAATTAAGTTAGTAATCAAAGATGATGTCCTCAGACGAGGCACGGCAAGATGCTCAAGGATGAGATAAGCTAGATTATTTCGATAATAAAAATCACTTACTTTCATTAGATGGTCTACACGTGCTAACAGCTGTGTATTAATAGAGAGTCTGCAGTATAACTTATCTCCAGGTTTTGCAACCAGTCGGAGAGCAAATTCTCTTTGAAACATAAGTATAGCACATCTGAAAATAAAGTAGAAGGGAATAGGAAAATAGTCACTTCCAACTGATAAATTTTCTTGGGAGAGAAACAGCAAAGCAATTATCTGTGGTTAATGATAATTAGTTCAGCTGGTTAGAATATAGGACAACACTTTCAGCCTTAGCTTTAGCTATTAGCACAAAATGAAGTCAGCTGGCTTTGTTTTTATAATGGCTGCACTCCTAACCACAAGGAAGCCAGCAAATATAAGCCCTCAATGATCAGATGAGAACATACTTCAGATCACCACTTCTGGGGAAACAAAACCAAAACACACAATATTGACTCAGCAGAATCATATTCATGGGGTAGCAAACACCCTTCTAAAAGAGCTGAGACTGGAGAAGCAGGTTGTGACATTCAGTGTCCCCAATTTAACAGATAAAGGAATGTGGACTATTTATTCGGTAGGCAATGGAGAGGCTTTTTGAAGGCTCTTGAACAGGAGAAGACAATCTTCAAAGGTGGACTTTGACTTTCCTAATTTTCTGACAAAGACCCACACTAAGAAATACTTTTGACATTGCATTCCAGGCCACTAATACCTGTGTGTAAGTAAATGCAGTTATATAACTAAAAAATTTCATGAAACAATAATCACATGGACCACATGCAATGCCCTCTGTTCTATCTAATTTTAAAAAAAAGAGATGATCATGACTCACTAAGTTGCTTTCATGACCACAAAGCGGTTTTTAGTCCCTGGGCGGTGCAAACAGTTAAGCACTTGACTACTAGCCAAAAGGTTGGCGGTTCGAACCTACCCAGAAGCGCTTCGGAAGACAGGCCTGGTGATCTGCTTCTAAAAGATCACAGCCTTGAAAACTCCATGGAGCAGTTCTACTCTGCACACATGGGGTCACCGTGAGTCTGAATCGACTCGATGGCAACTAACAACCATAGCAAGGGGATTTGACTTGCAGTTTGGAAACTACCGGCATAGACTGTACTAGAGACCAGTTAGGAGGCCACTGTAATTGTCTAGACAAAGATAATAAAAAGCCTGACCTAGGATTAGAAAATAATGGAAAGCTGTCTAGCCTCAGAAACAGCAATTAGACAACATCTCCCCAAATAACCGTTAATGAAAGGAAGGGAGAAAAAAAGAGGGAGACAAAGGAAGAAGGGAGGAAAGAAGGAAGGGAATGAGGGATGAAAGGAAAGGAAGACAGACCTTCACACAAACTATTTTCTACAAAACAAATTCTCCAGTAGTCTTTCAACTGAATGGACTTTCATCATTGGTTATCTGTATTCATGGCCCAAACTGTCAGTCTTTCTAAGATTTGGCAATAACGTTGGTCTCTGGTCACATACCTGAAGAAAGGTCGGTGCAGCAACAGCTTGAAGACAAAAGGAGAAGAGATCTGTAAGAGAATTAACTAGTTATCTCCATGAAAGACACACCAGAGAAACATTAAGTAGACTGTTCCTGACAATTTGAGGACGTACCTGATACGGCAAGTTTGCCACACAAGCATCAAAGAATGGTAAATCTGTTTTCAACACATCACCCACCATAACTTGAAGTTTGCTGGCCAGAGATCTGATAATAAAAAAAAAGAAATTAAAAATATATATTGTTTCAACATCTCATAACATGGAGGAATATGGAAGGCATTATGCTGAGTGAAATTAGTCACAAAAGGACAAATACTGTATAAGACCACTATTATAAGAACTCAAGGTTTTAACACAGAAAACATTATTTGATGGTTACAAGGGTGGGGAGGGAGGGAAAGGAGTATTCACTAACTAGATAGTAGACAAGAATTAGGTGAAGGGAAAGACAGCACACACTACAGGGGAAGTCAGCACAACTGACTAAACCAACAACTAAGAAGTTTCCTGAATACAACCAAACACTTTGAGGGACAGAGTAGCAGGGGCAGGGGCAGGGGTCTGGGGACCATGGTTTCAGGGGACATCTAGGTCAACTGGCATAACAAAGTTTATTAAGAAAATGTTCTGCATCCCACTTTGGTGAGTGGTGTCTGGGGTCTTAAAAGCTAGTGAGCAGCCATCTAAGATGCATGAATTGGTCCCAACCCACCTGGAGCAAAGGAGAATGAAGAACACCAAAGACACAAGGAAAATATTAGCCCAAAAGACAGAAAGGGCTGCATGAACCAGAGACATTCCATCAGCCTGAGACCACAAGAACTAGATGGTACTACCACCAATGACCGCCCTGACAGGGAACACAACAAAGAGTCCCTGATAGAGCAGGAGAACAGTAGGGTGCAGAACTCAAATTCTAGTAAAAAGACCAGACTTAATGGTCTGACTGCGACTGGAAGGACCCCGGAAGATATGGCCCCCAGACTCTCTGTTAGCCCAAAACTAAAATCATTCCTGAAGCCAACTCTTTAGACAAAAATTAGACTGGACTATGAGATATAAAATGCTACTCATGAAGAGTGTGCTTCTGTAAACCTTCACCTGAAGTACAATTAAAAAAAAAAAAATTACAATTAAGAAAAAAAAAAAAAAAAGAGTGTGCTTCTTAGCTCAGGTAGAGACTAAATGGGCAGCTCCTGTCTGCAGGCGAGATGAGAAGGCAGAAAGGGACAGCAACTGGTTGAATGGACACGGGAAATCCAGGGTGGAAAGGAGTGTGCTGTCACAGCATAGGGAGAGCAACTGTGGTCACATAACAGAGTATAAATTTTTGTATGAGAAACCTGAACTGTAAACTTAAAGCACAATTTTTAAAAAAAAGAGTAATAAAAATATATATATTGTTTCAAGAGATTGAAATGTACTTTGATTCTATTGTGTGTACTCACGTGCCCTGAACTCTTTTGTGAAGTTCAGCTACTAGCCTTGGGTCAAGTTCACAGGCAACTACCTGAAATAAAAAAGTTTCTTTAAAATGGCAAATGTTGAGTTACATATTTTTACAGCAATTTAAAAAAAAAAATTTATTTAAATATACTATAGAATACAAATCTTTTCTTGTTATCCCAATAACTCTCACATGACTTAAACTTCTTTTCCCAATTCTACCATCAATATTCTTTCAATTCTACTCTACTCTCCTAGTTCAAACAAACAAAAAAAACACCCAAAAAAGTAGACAACCAGATTGTTAGAATTCTACCCAAATAATCAACAGAATGATCACGTTTTATCTGGCTCCATGCTTTGTAACTGAACAGATGATGGAAAAACTGCTACAGAACACCTGTGCAGTCAAGTTTTCTTACACTGAAGCATAGAAAGCAAATGTCAACTGCTCTTAGAATCACTTCTCTCATGTACTAAAGTCTACACTATATACCATAAATAACGTCTCAAGTAAATGAAAAGTGATATGAAATAGATGACACTGTAATTTTATTATAACACTGGCTGAGGTTTCACTGATTTCCAGGAAGGCCATGTCTACAGTTAGATATATGTGCTGCTTATCCTGTTCACCTCCAAGATTCATTCTGTACTTTTCTGTCCTGGATTGTGCAGTGATGCAATCCAGCTCCTTAGGCCTTTGACCTCCAGTTGGGATTAGCCAAGGTCTAATGCCTGCCCCGTACCCTGCAGAAGTTCTGGCAGTGGATGCATTCTGTTATGAGTGGCCCCTCTTCAATGGCTCCTGCTCTCACTAGCCTCTGGTAACAAAGTTTCCTCACTTTCCTCCTTCAGGCATTTGGGTGGTAACTGTTTGCTTCGGTTGCTTTTAGTAACCCTTGGCTTTTACTAACCCTTACTGGTTCCCCAAACCCACACTGGTTAGCGCTTCAAAGTGTGCTGCCTGCTTCCACCAGGGGGCATAACACTGGACAATGGTTCCATTTAATTGGAAGCTGGGTCAACCAAGAGGCAAAGAAGGTACCAGCAGCACCCAGGTGGTGCCCTAATTTCAGAGGCCTGAGCTCCAGCTCTGCAGGTCTCCTCCTCTGAGGTTCTGGATTCTGATAACTATCTGAGGTTCTGGATTCCAATAACTACAGTCTCCTCCTGTCTTGGTTATCTAGTGCTGCTATAACAGAAATACCACAAGTGGATGGCTTTAATAAACAGAATTTTATTTTCTCACAGTTTAGGAGACTAGAAGTCTGAATTCAGGGCGCAAGCTCCTGGGGAAGGCTTTCTCTCTCTGTTGGTTCTGGGGAAAGATCCTTATCATCAATCTTCCCCTGATCTAGGAGCTTCTCAGCACAGGGACCCTGGGTCCAAAGGACACACTTTGGTCCTGGTGTTTGTTTCTTGGTGGCATGAGGTCCCTTCCTCTCTGCTCACTTCTGTCTCTTTTATGTCTTATAAGATAAAAGGTGATGCAGGCCACACCCCAGGGAAACTCCCCTTACATCTGATCTGGGCTGTGACTAGAGTAAGGATGTTGCATCCCACTTTAATCCTCTTTAACATAACGTAATCTTGCCTCATTAACCCCAGGAAGAGATTAGAATTTAAAACACATAGGAAAATTACATCACAAAATAGAGAACAACCACACAATACATGGCCTAGCCAAGTTGACACACATTTTTGGAGGACACACTTCAATCCATAACCTCCCTTTATTCTCCCAGACCTAGAGATGGTAGCAGCTCTTTGCAATTATTATTCAGGGTTCATGTTTTGTTTTTTAAGTCCTCTAACAACCATATAATCAGTTCTCTATATTAAATTCCCTGTGTTGAAATACCTAATATGGTTTCTCATTTCCTGACTAGTATATCCCATTTTTTCTAAAATAGTTTCTAGCAAAGATCAAGAGTTACTATTAAGATAATTACATTAAAACACCTTTACATTTGTAAACTAGCTGAGCTTGCTAGTCATTTCTGACACCAAAACGTTAAATTTCCATTTTACCTTTTTTGCCTTTTCTAACAACTTTATAGTCATGTTGCCGGTTCCAGGTCCAACTTCCAGGACCACATCAGTTGGTCTTAAGGCAGCCTACAAGCAAGCACAACATTAGCTCTTCCGGCACATCTGAACACAGTTTAATTTATACCTGAACATCTTTGCTCAATTGGACCAATAAGCAACATCATATAAACGGAGAAAATATTGAAGCTGTCAAGGATTTCATTTTACCTGGATCCACAATCAACACCCATGGAAGCAGCAGTCAAGAAATCAAAAGACACATTATATTTCACAAATCTGCTGCAAAAGACCTCTTTGAAGTGTCAAAAAGCAAACACCTCACTTTGAGGACTAAGGTGAGCCTGACCCAAGCCATGGTATTTTCAGTCGCCTCATATGTATATGAAAGCTCGACAATGAGTAAGAAAGACAAAAGAAGAATTGACGCCTTTGAACTATGGCGTTGGCGAAGTATACTGAATATACCATGGACTGCCAGAAGAATGAATAAATCTGTCTTGGAAGAACTACAGCCAGAATTTTCCTTAGAAGCAAGGATGGCAAGACCTCGTCTCACATACTTTGGACATGTTATCAGGGGGGCCCAGTCCCTGGAGAAGGACCTCATGCCTGGTAAGGTTGAGGGTCAGCAAAAAAGAGGGAGACCCTCAAGGAGATGGACTGACACAGTGGCTCCAACAATGGCCTCAAACGTAGCAACAACTGTGAGGATGGTGCAGGACCGGGCAGTGTTTCGTTCTGTTGTACACCGGGTCGCTATAACTCAACTGACTTGACGACACCTAACAACAACATCTTTGCTCATAAGCCCTCTGGAAATCTTTGTCTGCATTTTTAGGAGGTTTCTTCATGATATTTGTGTTTCACAAAATTACCTCATAAATTATTAGGTGTAAGTGGAAATCTAACACGTCTCCTCCACTTTAGGAGAACAGCAGTTCTTTCTGGGATTGTCATTCTACTTTCTACCTTGGAAGTGACTCCAACAGCATTTTCTCATTGACTCTGTACATATCACACAAGTTCAAATGGGAAAGGACTGCATATGATTACCTTGCCTGAGAATCGGAGTACTGGACCAGAAATTCCCAATTCTCAACCCACGTATGAATTTCAGGGGATGCAGGAATACCCAGAAATTGTACAGAAAACTGGTATATGTACACAGCTGCAATATTCTGGGTCCACAGCTTTCATCAGGAAATGCTCAAGAATCCATGAGTAAAAAAGGTTAAAAAGCAAGGCCAACCTTCATTTTGCAAATGATACTAAGTTAGAATGAGATCACTGAACTATGTAATGCTCTTTCTATAGCTTCAGGATGCTTCCCTATTAACATAAACTTTGTAACCACAAAAGTAATTTGCACCACTTAAATTTCACATCGTAGCACCCAGTCATCCATAACAAAAAGAAGTCACCAATGACCCACATAGAAGGCATATTCCAAATAATTATATGTGGCACTGGATTGTAGCACATAAGCTTTTCTGGGGAACAGGCTTCCTAAAGAGCAAACAGAAACCGACAGTGACAGCTAGTGCCTAGAACAAGTATTACGAGTAAAAGAATAACAACCTGTAATTGAACAAGTACAAAGGTCCTGCTAACGAACTGGATAATCTACAGAAAGACAAAGAATTTGGGGACAGAAGAAGCCCATACCTACAGGTTGAAGCACATCATGCAGAAGACAACACGTGAATCTGAGACAATTCTTCACTGATTCAACAAATATTTACAGAGCAGTTATAGCAGGCATGGTCTCTGCGCTTAAGTATTTCTTAGAACAAAATCGCTAACTCAACTCTCTTTCCTCTTTCACACCCACCTTATCGATAATGCTGTTAACAACGAGAGGATTTTTCAGAATGTGTTGCCCAATCCCCGTGTTGAACATAAGTCCTGGAAAAAAACACAAAATAGCTTTAATTTCCCAACCTGATTAGACAGTAGACAGTCCCGGAGAAGAAAGCAGAATGGGATGAGTTGTCTGCGCCAACCCGAGACACCAAACGTCAATCTTGGAGCTGGGACTGACATACTGCTTTAAGTCCATCCCTTCTGCGCGAAAGGCCAAAGGCGGCCTGCAGAGCCTGCCACCCGCGTTCCGGGAGCCCCAGACTTCCGCGCTCACGGGAGCGCCGGCTCCACCAGGCCTTGCGGCCCTGGCTCAGGTTTCCGTGTGGTCCGCCCCGCGGGAAGACCCGACCCAACCCCAGGCTCCCTCCCGGCTGCCCGTACCTCCGGCGCTCTTCACCTCCCGGCGCTGTTCCTGCCGCTCGCGGCGCCGGCCGATCGCCCCCGACTTGACTTTCGGCATCTCTGCTGGGCGCAGGCTCACAGAACTGAGAAGTTCAGAAGGACCAAAGCCGGCAACCAGAGTCACTGCACCACATGGTACTCCCCGCAACCTGCCCCCCGCACCACTGTCTGCCACGAGGGGGAGAGGCGAGCGGCCGCTGGGAGGTGCGTCCTGGGCTCTGCCCCCAGGCAAGGGGGCGGACCTTGGAGCCCAATGGATGCCGGAAATTGTAGTCACGAGCTGGAGGAAAGTGTACATTCACCGATTCTGGCAGTTTGGATTGGCTGTCTAGTTTAGAGCCAGGGGCTGGGTTTCTCGTCCCTAACGCCGCCGGGGCTAGTTAAGTATCGTAGATGCTGGTGTAGGGTCCAGGTTGTGGAGCTTTAAATGCTTTGCGATTAGGCTCGAGACTGCTTTATCAGGCCGGGTTCTAGGGATCGCTGGAATTAAAAAAAAGTTATTTTCCCTTTTGTCACGTCCCTAGCTCCTGTTTCGCCGCAGGTCCCAAAAAAACCCAGTGGGGTGGAAAACCCAAGATCTTGGGACGAGGAGCTTGCGCCTTTGGGGCGCGTTTTGGAAAGGAACTCTGAGAATAGAATTAGCTTCTTGTATCACTAGGGCTACTGGTTGCTTTACTTCCTTTAGTGCCACGTCATTCATTCCCTAAACATTTACTGAGTTCCAGGTGTGTATTAGACACTGCTAGGTGCTGGGGATTCAGAGTTAAATAAGAAAATGCCCTCCTCAAAGTTCCGTTGAGACAGACCAAAAAAAGTGCAAAACGCTGTAAACGTAATAGTAGGTATGTGTCGGGTATTGTTACAGGACATTGTACCCGACTGTAAGCTCCAGGAACGCAAAGTCCACATCTGTTTTGACCGTCAGTATAATAACTTTTAGTTTTTAATTTTTCTGGTGTACCCTATTGCCTTAAAGAAGCAGTTCCTTCCTGTCATTACTAAAGCTGACTCTTTCCTGTGCTATTAATTGCGTGCAGTCTCAAGCCTTGGTTTTACTCTGTCCTCTCTTTGTTGTAATTCTAACTCAGGAAAAACTCAACCCTAGCAGCATCTTTAACTACCAATTTCATTCCATTAGTCATTAATTTATTCTGCAGAGTCAACTGTGCCAAGCACTGTGTCAAATACTGGGAATAAAAAGTTGAACATAAAATAATCCCTGCTTTTAAAGAACTTCCTGTCAAGAGAGGGAGACATACAAATAATTACTACAATAGCTACCATTGGCTGAGCAATTATGTGCCAGGTACCTTAGGTACATTATCTCATTTAACCGTTTCAAACATTCTCTGAGATAGGTTTTATTATACCCATTTTACAGTTGAGGAAACTGAAGGACAAAAATGTTTACTACTTTGCTCAAGATCACACAGTAAAAGACAACTGTGTCTTGAAACTAGGTTTGTATGCCAAAGACTGTGTGCTTTAAAAAAGGTATAATCACAGAACTATGGCTAATATTTGAGGAAATGTGGAACATTTTCAAAATATAATGATTAAGCCAAATCTTAAAGGACAATAACAGCCAGGGGAAGGTTGGGACTGCAGAAGGAACAGCAGTCACAAAGCCAAGATATGCAGAAGATTAAGGAAGAAAAACAAACTTGTAGCTGAGTTGTAAATAGATAAGGTAAATAAGGACTTACTGTGAAGGTCTAAAGTGTTATGCTTTGTTATGGGCAATGGTGGTCACATGTGGATCAAAACAACCATTTTACCCACTCTCCAGGCTGGGAGAATTACTGTAGGTTACACAACATTGCAGATTGGAGCCCCTAGATATTCATGAGCTCCAGATTTAGCTGAGTTCTGAACCCTGCCAGCCAGCTCTTCTTGAATCCCTCTAACCTTCCTCTCCCATTCTCCACAAGGGATCTTCAAACCTTCTTACTTCTCAAGCCCCCTACCCTACCACCTCCCCAGCTCCTTCTCAGTAGAAGACCTTGCCTTTTGCTTCACAGAAGAAATGCAAGATTGCCTAGGGGAAACTTTCACCTTCCTGAGTCACTGTTCTAGATGCTATTCTACACACTGGGGATATAGCAGTGAGCAAAACAAAGTAGAGTGGGGAGAAACAGACAATACATCAGGTAGTGATAAGGGTAAAGAAGAAAAATAAAGCGGAGGAGATAGAGATTGACAGGGTGAGTGGGAGGAGCTATTTTATGTAACAAGGTCTGGGAAGGCACCTTTGATGGGAGTGATATGGTCAAAGACCTGAGGGCATAAAGGAGGTGTCTCACATCACTTCTGCTCGCACTCTAGCGTTTTACCACAATGAGTGACTGACGGAAAGCATGAAGGAGTTGTGGATGCAAGTACAGGGGTATAATTAAAAATAATAATAATAAACCAAACCTGTTGCCATCGAGTCGATTCCAACTCATAGCAACCTACAGGACACAGTAGAATTGCCCCCATAGGGTTTCCAAGGAGCAGCTGGTGCATTTGAGCTGTCAACCTTTTGGTTAGCAACCAAGCTCTTAACCACTGCGCCAGCAGGGCTCCCAATAGGAGGAAAGAGGGGTGCAGTTTTTGGTAGGGAAATTTATATGAACAGAAGCCAGGGAAAGCTTGCGGGGGGTGGGGGGGTGGGGGAGGGTAATGATGATTCAGCATTAAACTGTAGGTGAATCTATGTCCTGACTAGAATTGGTTCATTCTTTCCGTAGTCCGGGGCACTGGACTCCATACTCCTTAGAGAGTAAATAGGGCAGACAATAAGAATAGAGACCAAATAATTTGCTTTAGGAGTAAAATAACAAGACCCTCCCGGAAGAAGCCACGTTTTAAGTCCTATAAAACTAAATGACTAGGGTGAGTATGCATGTTTACAAGTCTATATTGGGATTTCTCTAAGACTAAATCTTGAACCATCTGCATCAGGAATGAAGGTATGAAATGAAAAATCAGATTCCTAAGCCCCATCGTGAACATTCTGGATCATAATCTCTGGGATTGGGACCTGGCATACCCCCAGTGGTGCAGTGGTTAAGAGTCAGGCTGCTAACCAAAAGGTTGGAAGTTCAAATCCACATTGGAAACCCTATGGGGCAGTTCTACTATGTCCTATAGGGTTGCTATGAGTCAGAATCGACTTGATGGCAATGGGTTTGGTTTATACACATTTTGACAAGACTTCCAGGCATTCTGATGCATCAGTGAGACAGGCAGCCTCAAAGCTCAGCCCTTCTAGAAGATATCTGCTCTGACTTGTTTTCCTACACCTAGCAGAATAGGCCATATATTCTTCTGAAATTGTCCTTGACAGGATAACCACAGAATGGCCATAGCTGGACCCAACTGGTTTTAGCAGGTTTTCAAAGCCATCTTGGCACTTTAAGTGACGTATTAGCTCATTAGATGTGGAACCAGGGATATCAATGCTGATGTCAGATGGATCCTGGATGAAAGCACAGAATACCAGAAAGATGTTTACCTGTGTTTCATTGACTATGCAAAGGCATTCGACTGTGTGAATCATAATAAATTATGGATAACATTGCGAAGAATGGGAATTCCAGAACACTTAATTGTGCTCATGAGGATTCTGTACATAGATCAAGAGGCAGTTGTTCGAACAGAACAAGGGGATACTGTGTGGTTTAAAGTCAGGAAAGGTGTGTGTCAGAGTTATATCCTTTCACCCTACCTTTTCAATCTATATGCTATGCAAATAATCTCAGGAACTGGACTATATGAAGAGGAAGGTGGCATCAGGATTGAAGGAAGACTCATTAACAACCTTCAATATGTAGATGACACAACCTTGCTTCCTGAAAGTGAAGAGGACTTGAAGCCCTTACTGATGAAGATCAAAGACCACAGCCTTCAGTATGGATTACACCGCAATGTAAAGAAAACAAAAATCCTCACAACTGGACCAGTAAGCAACATCATGATAAACAGAGAAAAGACTGAAGTTGTCAAGGATTTCATTTTACTTGGATCCACAATCAACACCCATGGAAGCAGCAGTCAAGAAATCAAAAGACGCATTGCATTGGGCAAATCTGTTGCAAAAGACCTCTTTAAAGTGTTGAAAAGCAAAGATGTCACTTGAAGACTAAGGTGTGCCTGACCCAAGCCATGGTGTTTTCAATTACCTCATATGCACGTGAAAGCTGGACAATGAATAAGGAAGATCAAAGAAGAATTGATGCCTTTGAATTATGGTGTTGGTGAAGAACATCGAATATACCGTGGACTGCCAGAAGAACAAACATATCTGTCTTGGAAGAAGTACAACCAGAATGCTCCTTAGAAGCAAGGATGGGGAGATGACGTCTTACTTACTTTGGACATGTTGTCAGGAGGGATCAGTCCCTGGAGAAGGACATCATGGTTGCCAAAGTAGAGGGCCAGCGAAAAACAGGAAGACCCTCAATAAGATGGGTTGACACAGTGGCTGCAACAATACTCAAGCATAACAAGAATTGTGAGGATGGCACAGGACCGGGCAGTGTTTTGTTTTGTGGTACATAGGGTCACTATGAGTCAGAGCCGACTCAAGGGCACCTAACAACAACAAAACATTAGCTCATTAAGTGCAAAATACATACAAGCACCCTACCTCTAGGTAGAGACTTAACATGCTAACGTAGGAAAACTGACCTTTTTCACTATCCCAAGGAATCAAACCCTTGTCTAAAGAAAATGCAGTCATCCCCAAGCTCTGGACGCCTTCTTGAAGACCGATCCTGAATATTCACGATAAATTTACATTTCCTTGTCTGCTCTCTGTAAAAGCCCGCCTCCCCAAGCTGCCTGTGAGCAGCCTCGACTGTCCCTTTCTTTGTGCAACAACTTTCTAATCTCCCACCTTGGCCTCTTGTTTATTGGCTATAAGGAGTCACGCCAAGCAAAACCTGGAGTTTCCACTGGCAACATCAGTATAGGGAAGCTGGTATAGTAACTGAGATCTCTTATTATTCTCGTTGAATTTCCTCCATTTTTTTCTGTTACTATCAAAGCAGCATTCCAGAAATGAAACAAGGTTGAGTGCAGCATAGCTCCACAAGTCCTAGGGAATTGTGTGTTGTTGGGATATGAGCTGCATTAAAGAAATGAGCATTGAAAATTTATGTTGGAATATATTATATTTGAGTTGTTTCTGAAACCATGAATGGCTTTGTAATTATGACAAATAATTTTCTGGTACTCTGATTTATATTTGTATTCTTTTTAATTAAAAATAATTATTTTTAACTTTGGGTATGCCAATCAATTCATTGCCATTTTTATAGATTTTGTTGTTGATAAAATATATTGTAAATTGAAAAAGAATTATAATAGCATTTGCTTTAATAGAACAGGGTTATTAAAATTCACAGCATGCTTGAAATGATAACATTTTAAATGTGCCCAGGAGTGTATTAAAGCACAAAAATAAAATTTTGTGAGCATCTTGTATAAAATAGTTCCTTACAGATGTTTAATGTATTCAAAAGTTATAAAAACATTAAGAAGGT